GCAGGCGGAGAACATAGCCCCCAAGGTCACATCCAGCTTCCGCCTCTCCCAAATCCCGTCACCCCCGCAGCTCCTGCCAAGCCGGCACCAGCAACGCTGCTCACGTCCCCTTGGGTCCCAGCACGGCCAGGCCATGTCACCACCCCCCAGATGGCAGGGCGAGCCGAGGAGCAGCCAGAAACCCTTCCCTCCTGTTTTCAAGCCAGAGAGATGATTTACCAAAGTTACAAATACCATCCCTCCTCCCCAGCTCCAGTTTAAATATCCCCAGTACAAATAGCTTTAAGACACGGAAGTGAACTGGCACAGACCGAAGGCAGCGGGGCCGCGTCCTCCTAAAATATACTGCAGCGAATGCTCAACATCCCGGCAAGGGGGTTCCCGAGCTGCTCTTTCTAGGTACATCACCGAGGGGTCTTAGGTAAAACGTTCATGCTTGAGCTTCCTTCTCTCTCTAACCAGAGGTGGCTTCATCTTTGTTGACTTTATTTTTTTTTTTTGTAAGGCTACTGCAGCTACTTTGGGGGAAAAAAAATCAGCTCTGATCAGCCGAAACCCAGGGGAACTGCCGGAGGCGAGAAGTGCCGAGCTGTCCCTCCTCACGGGACCGTGGGAGAAGGGTCGGGACCGAGCAGGGAATGAGAAATCACAGAGCTCAACATGTACATGATCCGTACGGGTCTTGCTCAAAATGACCCAAAACAACCAGTCCTGACCTTAAAGAACGGGCCTAACTGGGGAGCACAGGGAAGGACCTCGGGACGAGAGCCCCATCACGACAAGCAGCCCCTCCAGGCGCAGGTTCCCGTACGGCCTGGGGGAACGGGCACCCCGAAACCTCGTTGCACCCAAGCGCACCCCAGTCTGCCAGCAGCCCCAGGGCACCACCAAGACGCCCTCGTTTTGGGGGGTTTTGCTTGATTTTTTTTTTTATAGCCAGTGATCGGATGGGATCTGACTGGATCCTTTCACGGGAGCCTACGTCTCCCCCAGGTGCCCCCGCAGCCCAGCGAGGGGCCAAAGCCAGCACCCAAAGCCCCTCAGGGACAAACAGGCAGAAGAGAGACGAAAGGCCACCGAGGGTGACAGACAGCCTGGGCGCCTCGGCTCTGAGGAGCAGCACGCAACTACCCGCAGCCAGCCCAAAGCCCCTCAGACCCATTCCTCATAAAAGACGTCCCCCGTCCACCACCCTGGGAAAGCCCAGCATCCCCCAAACCCATCCCCCGGCCCTGCCGACTCGCCTCCCTTCTCCCGCAAAAGGCCATGCGGCGCAGCGCTCTCC